TCTCAGCCGTGCCTCCTCTCTTCCCCCTTTCCCTCCCTCTTTCCCTCAGCCCTGCCGAGGGCTGGCCCGGCCCCCAGTTAAGCTCCGTGGCCGCACCAGGGGGCTGGAGCAGCCCGGGCCAGACACCGAGCTCCCGCGGGCCAGGGTCTGAGAGGGAGCGCAGGGGTCGGGTTTGTACCTGGCCGCCTCCTCCCTCACACTAAATACGGCTTTTGGGCTGGTTTGCGGGGGGGAAAAAAACCCTAAAAAACTCAAGTGTTTTTTCACGTAGCTGTTCCCCCGGGGCAGAGCAGTATTGGCCCGTGGGTTATTTAGGTACCGCTCTGCTGCAGGTGGGATGAGTTTGGTCAGCACCAGTCTGGCAAAAGCCGCCCGCACCCCATCGTCGATTGCGTTTGTCAGCATGAGCGAAAGACTTGTTTGCTGTTTAGTCTTGGCTTGAAAAGGACTCTCTTCCTCCGGAGTGGGGAGGGCTGGGATCTGAGTACCCTGCCAGGTGGATGGGGCTTTGTGCAGGGGTGGTTTAAAGCTCACAAAAGCAGCAGATCGGAGTGGGATGAGGCACCTCTGCCTTTGTTTCATCCTTGTCAGTGCTGGTTTGGGAGGCCAGAGACAGCTTCCCATCCGGGTTTGGCCAAAGCTCAAGCACCTAAGCATTGCAGGGCAGGCATGTCCCTCTGCATAACTCTGTTCTGATTTGCACACTAATAAAGTATTGGAAAAAAAGGAGGAAGAAGAAAGAGGGTAAGATAACATACCAAAATGAAGTAAGAAAAAAAGTATTTGTAACTACTTCAATTCAGAGAAATACTGACAAAGATGTTGGAGAATTAGACTTACAGGACTTACCCAGAAACATTGGAGGAGTTAAATGTATCTAACCTGGCCACGCAGCGCTAAAGTGGGCACATAACAGGCACAAGGATTCGAAGAGTAACAGAGAGAGCAGGACTATCAGAGGCAGTAGTAGTGCTACTTCATCTTTCTTCCTGAACTACTTCTGCATCTTAAGATTGCAGTTAAGAAACTGCAAAGATTTTAGTTCCTGTTGTAATTGGGACAGATCCCAGTATGACAATTCCATGGTTCTGGAGAGGGCTCACTCTGTATTTCATGCACCATGAACAGAAGGGATGTGTTTAAGATCATTACCATAAAGACAGATTAGCAGCCATATCTGCCTTAGCAGCATTTTGACAATGTATTTTTCCTTCTTTTAAGAGACTGCAGCACTTTTCTGCAAGTGTGTAGACAAAACTGTATTACAAGAGAGTCATGAATCTTAAAAACATTTCTGCATCAATTAAACACCAGAATAAATAACGTCAAGCATGTGTCCCATGTTCTCCCTTGGCTATGTTTGTTACCACCATTATACCATTCCATCAGTTTTTTTTGCTTCCTGGTATCCCCAGCCAGGATGACATTGCCCTTGTCAGAGCTCAAGTTACACATTTCAGCAGAAGTGGACATTGTTTAGTCTTCAGAGTCACTTGATTTGAAGTTCATGCTTAACAAATGGTCTCTCTTGTCCTTTAGTGTTTGTAGTGGACATCAGTTGAAATCAATATGTATCCCTGTGGGGAGAAGAACAGTCATTGACATGCTGTGAATTAAAAATGAAGGTGTTATTTTGTTTAGTTGATTTTTTTTTTGTTCATTTGTTTGGTTGGGTTTTTTAAAATTTCAAATGTATCTTGGTGTTTAAGGTCAGAAAAGCTACTGAGAACAGCTGAGCCTTGGAGGTCACAAGTTTATTATTACACTCTGTCCTTTGCAAAAATTTGCAAAAGGGCCCTATCTTTCCCTGGGTGCTACCCCTTTGCACCATGCTAGCGACAGAAGGGACATCTGAGCCTTGATGTTCAAAGTTCATTTGAGCCTTGAGGCAACTAGGCAACCATCACAAGGTGGGATTATTTTTAATCTAATCTGAGCTGCTTAAGAATTAGCCATTTAATCTAAACTTGTCCTTAAAGCTTCCTCTATTGTTGGTGCATACAGAGCAATGAACCTGCAGAGAGCAGCTCATCACAGTCATAAAATCATAGGATGGTTTGGGTTGGAAGGAACCTAAAAGATCATCTTGTTCCAACCCCTTTGCTATGGGCAGGGACACCTTTCACTAGACCACGTTGCTAAAAGCCCCATCCAGTCTATCTATGAAGAGTGGGAAGAATTGTCTTTCTTCCTATAGACTGTAGCAAATAGATTGGGATTGGACGTGGAAGCTTCTAGAAGTAGCTCTAAAATAGGAATCCCATTCACATTGGTAGAGCATAGCAATTCTCCTGTGTCCTCTCTCATTCCTAGTTACTGATGAGTCTTCTTAGAGAAAGTAAGGTGAGGAATAGGCACCACAGAACCACTAAAATCCTTCATTCATAATTAGCCCATAAGACTGCTGGCAACGAGAGCCATTGAAAGCAGTCTCCAAGCAATTATATTTTGTAGGGAATGGCATAGCTGGCTGCTACCAGATATGGGATGAAAAGAAAAATTAAAGACAACCTTTGCATTTCCTTTCCTGAGTTGTGTTTTGTGCTTAACCACAAACAAAAGATTTAAGACTGTCTCTGCTAAGCTGAAAATAACTTTGAGACATTGGTAAACAAGTGGAGAAATATAACAAGCTTACCCATTTTCTGGGCGTTCAGTTGTCAGCAACGCCCTTGTACTGACTGATTGTCTAGCAACATTCTGTTTGCTCACATTAAGGGCTAGATTTGGAGAAAGGTAACCAGCAGGCAAAAAAATATTTTCTGAGAGCTCACTAACTAGTTTTGGCTAGCAGCCTCAGTCATTATCACCAATTATTAACAAAATCCAGTCATCCTAGGTGCACAGAATGGAATTCACTCTCATATTTCAACTATTCAACAGGGCTGTGTGGATAGCAATAAGTCTAATTTGATGTGATTGGCCAAACTTGAATTAAACCTGTTTTTACACTGAATTGCAACTTGCAAGGCTGAACAAGTTGTGCATTTGATCATTCCACGGTTATATATTCAGTTCTAACTTTTCCTCTCAAAGAAAGATAAATTTGTTTCTAATAGGATTTTACCATTATTACAGATCTCATTTTAAACCCAGGCCTTTTTACTACTTAAGTAGCTCAAATGCAACAAATTTCTGGTACAAAAAGGTGAATAAATGCCTAGCCAAAAAAAGGGGGGGGAAGAAAGGAAAAAAAAAAGCGATAACCTTTCATAAAGGAAAATCTTTCATAAGTGCCAAAATCTCACCTGTGCAATTGTAATGTGAGGTCTTGTCAAGGTAACATTGGCCAGATTGGGAAGAGGGAATCCTTTTGAGAGTTTGGCTTAAAAAAAAAGAGACAAACAGTAATTTAGTCATGCATTTTTGCCCTGCAAAAGCACTGTATATCCAGAGACTTGGTCATTGACAACAACTACCTCTTAGTCTTTACAAGCAGCTCTGGGAGGTAGATAGGATGCTCATTTACCAGTGGGGAAAAGGAATTACAGGTGCTTCTCTCTTGGCAGAGTGTTGCAGCCAAACCAAGGCATTTCGTGTTCAACACATTACATACTCAGTGACTCGTCCCTAACGATCCCCGAGGGATCATTAATACAGCTCTAGCATCATTAGAACCTGTTTGTATCCATTAACTAAGGAAGGTGATGTTCACCCCAGTACAGAGGGCTGGCAGAAAGTTATGTCTCCCTCCAGGGTCTTAAATAAGATTTATGAGAGGCAAAACCTCTGTGCTGGTCAAATAAAGGGGAATACATTTCACACATGGTAGCCCCAGGCAGGTGTGCAGATGAGAGAGACATGCTTCTCCCTCATGCATCAGGGCCACCTAGACTGAGGTGAAGGCAGATGAATTATGAGTTCCCAAGTAATTTCTGCTCTTTTTGCAGAATAGTGGCCGTGAGAGGGCGCACCTAGATCCCTGGAGATCAATCTCCCCCTTCCACTGCTTACTGGATGACGATCATTTTCCTCTCTAACGGGAACTGGAAATTTAAGAGGAAGTCAGTAGGAGTTCCTAGAATCACCCACTCTGCTGGAAGTTTTTAGCTGCTGCTTTGATATACATCCTTACCGTTAGCTGATGGAATTACTTCAGTCTGTAAAATGTAAGACAGGATGTTCTCCAGAAGCGAGATCTGCCCCAGACAAGAAAACTGAATTAGCCATCACTTCCTGATGATGGTAGAACTGTCGTGCCCTAATCCTGGGTGGAGTTAGTAGACTCATGTTTAACTTTCATCTCTTTTGGCCTCAAAGAGTCATAAACTCAAGTGAACTTTGGATCTTAAGGCTTTGGAATGATGCAAAGGAAGTGAGATGCAAAATGCAAATGGATTTCAACATGCTTAGCCAACGTTTTCGTTTAAAACAGTCTATTTCCTTTATTTGTGAGATAATTTATCACCAATAGCAAAGCAGGACCAGAACAGTTTTAATCCTTTCTCCTCAGCTACTCGGAACTGAGTGATTATACTCAGAATAAAACGACTCTCTGCGGAGGCAGGGTTTTCTCCTGCCAAGCTACAACTGCACTATTTCAGGCATCTGAGATAAGTATCTTGGCTCCCCCTCCCTATTGTAATCCCGAGCATCTGTGATGAGCACCACTGCAGCACATGGAGTGCCTGTGCCTCAGCCATCCATGTGACCATTAGATGGCACACTGCTCTGCTGCCAAAGCTTAGATTACCGCTCTGTGTTTCACCGTGGTGATTCGAGAGATCTCTGCTTTCTGCAGTTTGGGGAACTACAGCATGTCTCATTTGCAGAGCACTAACTTGTCCCAAAGAATATACTTCTAAGTCCACAGCAGAAGACAGGAAACGAGCTATCTGAGAATGAAGCCAAATAATTTAGAAATACGGATAAAATGTAGCTGCTTACTCTTTAGCCTTCATATGACTGATATTCTTGGTTTACATTTCCTATAAGCTTCAACTACCCACTCACCTCAAAAAAGCCAACATTGGAGTGGGCTAGGGAGAACTGGAGCCTGAGGGAAAGAAGTGAAACAAGATGAGTCACTAAGAAAGGATAAACACAGTTATTCTATTCATGTACAGTCATTGCTGTAGGGCTCCAGGCCTCAAAAGCATCTGTAAAGAGATTTTTGAAGCAATTTCACACAACGCATACTGTCACATAGAGAAAGACGTGCTCTTCTTAGGGCATTGCTGAGCATCTATGCAAAAGTGTGCTAGAAGGGCTGTAGCCAGCAATGTGAGTGTGCTTCTCCCTCTGTGCTGTGTTTTGGAAATCCTACTGACAGTTGATTTAACCAAGGATTTGTAGGATGTCAGGTATTTTGCAAGGATTTTGGTACATCTGCATAATGCTTTGATGTGAGTCTTACCAGGGTGGGGAGAAAAAATGTGTTCATCATATGGTACTGCTGCTGCTGACTTTGTTGCTGAATGTCTCTCTTCCAAATTGAAATATTTATTCTGTATGTTACTCTTGTATCCAACACAAGATTTCAGAGTTTCCACAGCATCAGCACCCCAGATCTCAAGGCCAGCTTCCAGCACACTCTAGATTTTTGTCTTTGAAAATTGCTGCAAAAACTGCTAACAGCACTATCCTCCTTAAACTCGTAATATCTTTCTGCCCTTACGAACTCCGCATATTCTTAACCCTATAACTGTCTTCCCGAGGGACTTCTATGAAATTGGGGTCCTAATTCCCAGCTGTGAGGTCCTGGTATACAGAGCTTCTCTCTATAAAGTGTGACATGCTAGATGTCTAAATGTCCAAGCCTCTGGTCTCCAGCTTTCTGACCCTTGGAAGTTGCAGGACTTTATTTGGTGAATCTCTGCTCTAAGAATATTGGCATAGGAGACCTGCAGGGGCCCAGTTTCTTTGCTGTGTCCTGGACTGCTCTGAAGTTCTTTAGTAGCACAGGTGGTCTAGAAAGCAGTGACATCTTGCCAGCTGGAAAATGGTGAGGGAAACTGAGATGACCTGTGGTCAACATAACTGCCCTGCACGCTTCATTTATCTAGCTCAGAGGGGAGAGTAGATGTAAAAAGCAGAGAAGTCCAGTGAGACCACACCCCTACAGCAGTCCACAGCTGGTGAGCAGTCCCTTGGGACATGGCAGTTGTCATAGAGAAGCTTCCTGCCTCCTCTAAACTGTATAAATGCAGCTAGAAGTAGAGAATCTAATGCAGATGAATTTACCAGGGAAACATACTCATCTGATCATGTGCCTAAATGACTAATGTTGGGATTGCTAACAGTGTTTTCCAAAGGCCTGGGAATTCTTTCCATCACAGGTTGAATTACCTGTTCAAACATAGGGAGCCCATCAATTTCTGATCAAATACATTCAGAGAAATGCTGCTGTTGGCTGCCTGCAGAATAAAGAAACCATGGGTTACCAGACATAAAAAAACCCAGGACCCTTGCTGTGAATTAGTCACAAATACATAAATACCATCCATACCACTTAGGTATGGAAGCTGTTTTAGGTAAATGCAAGGCTGCACCCAATAAATGTCTGTTTATCTGAATGGCACAACAAGAGCTGAAATGTGGGTAATGAGCTTTCCTTAATCAAAGACATGAACAAGTTGCCAAGAGGCATGACTCATACCCACAGAACTGTCATTCCAGAGTAACCTTGGTTAATCAGAGAGTTTTGATTTTTGTCCATCTATAGGAAAATGTTCTCTGCCACAGAAGTTGTGAGGTCACACAGTCACCACCTGTGACTAAGGGGAATTTGCATGTTTAAGTACTAGAAATTTGGCAAGTTTTAACAGAAGGAACAAACATATTTAACCCTGAGTTAAGTGCCACCTTGTTCTTTGTACTTACTACATTCATTGTGAACAGCGACTGGGTGGTTGAGTCTGGCAGAACAGCCAACACCTCCATGGAGCCCTGAATCTCTACTGTGAAGGAATCCTGCTCTAAGCTGATGACAGGTATTTCAGTAGCCATTAGCTTCAACATTACTGGATAGGGTGTAACTGAGTATTTGGCGACCTGTAAGATTGCAGGACAAAAAAAGAAAAAATACAGAAAAACACTTCTTGTAGAACAGAATACTGCATTGTCTCATTCTTGAAGCAATCATTTTGAAGTAGTTCTTTAAGATGAGATTAAGGATAGCTGCTAACACAAGGTTTGTTCAGGCAAGCAGGAAGTACAGGTTTTCTGCAGAGATAAATTAACAATCTTGGCCACATAGGAATGCAGTGCAAAGTTCCTTCCACTTGAGGAATACAAATTTTTCTATATCACTTTGAGAGAAATTAAATATTGATTTGTGAACAGGAGAGAGAAATGGACCACAAATGTGACATTTAAAGTCACACAATAAAAGAGCTAAGGAGTCATTAACTTTGAAATTCACCCATCTCCCAACAGAGATTCCTCCTCTGGTTCCTCCTCTGGACCGTTCTCTTAGGATCCTCACTCCATTGCCTGGAGAGTGAATAGCCTCACCAAGTTCATCAATCAAAACAGAGGGAGTGGAATATTAGCATCAATGCTCATGGCATTTTATGAAGACCATATGATGACTGCCCTTGGAGAATTTTATATTTCTGAGGAAGGAACTTAAAAACATCTGAGAAGCAAACAAGAATGTGAAGTTCTTTGAACCATTAGTCTGATTTCATCCAACCTCAGCATTCTTAGCCTAGGGGTTCTTATGCTCATTTTTGGTTTCTCATTCTGTTTGAGAAGGCTGATGGAAGCCATGCATACTCATATTCTCTGTCATGTTATCTTCATCTCCTCCACCTGAAATAGATGGAAATCCTGTGCATCTGCCTTGTCTGTTCCATAGGATGCAATGTTTCCTCCTCATCTGTTAGCTGGATTTCCTGCACATGGTCTTTCTGCTAGTCAGTCACAGCAAAGCAGTGAAGCAAAGACAATTATGCAGGTTTGGACAGGAGGAAGGTGTTCTTTCTGAGCTGAGGCCCTTTCAGAATTCTCTCAAAGCAGGACTTATGACTGAAAGCTTTTCCCTGCATAGAGACAGTTTTAGGTGGGAACAGCTGTGGCTTGGGCACGGCGCCCAGAGTAAAGATTGATGTGCAAGGTTATGGGCCAAGATTATGTTTGGTAACAGTGCAAGTCATTCAACTCATCATGGGGGTGGGAAGTGACAAGGCCCATCTGCTCGTCTGTTATGAGGCATATATGTGCCAGCTTCTCTAGTGCAGGAGCCCTGCTGGCCCTAACAGCCTTTGGGATACACCAGTAGTGAGGTGTCTTGACACTCACACTGGGTGGTTTACTAAGACTTTGTGGAAGTAATGATACTCACCTCAGGGATGATACTGCCAAATATCTCTGTGCTTATATTAAAATAGCTGCAGGTCTGGAAGAAAAAATAAAAGAGAGAAAACAAATGAGTTTGACCTTCATGGTCAGCTTTTCTCTAAATGCATTATTACTCTCATTTCAATAAATCTTTAATTCTGTACCTCTCAGAAATATTCCTAAGAGACTCAGTATACTTTAAAGCTGATTCCCAATAATACATGCCACAATAATTCCTGAGAAAAAAAATGCTTAATGTCATTATAATATGGGCTACAATCTATAGGTTTTGGGACTTACTAAACCTCCTGCAGTCAGGTAAGCCAAGTCAGGCAGCCTCCATGCACAGCTACTGTACTTTGATATATGGTTTCCTTCCATGGCCCCTGTAATACTTTTATTCTACAAAGATCCCTCAAAAAACAGCCACCAAGGCTGCAAAGTTCCCCAAAGTCAATCGTTGTCCAAGTCAGAGAAGTCTAGGCCTCAAGTCTATAAAAGCCTTATTTTTTGTAACAAAGTTTTGTAGCTTGCTTAGCAGAACTTGGCACACCTGGCTGTGGCCTGAGACCTCTATATAAGGCATAAATAAAAGAGAATAACAATACCTTTGTATTTATGATCTACTGTCTCAGGACTCTGCAGACCAATTAACAGCTTTATCTGGCTGCACACTGACATCTGGCAGGTCAAAGTTCTATCTGAGCCACTCTGACCCCACTCCTCTCTGTCCTACTCACCTCCTCTGCAATGGTCATGTTGAAGGCCCCTGCGGTGTAGTAAGCAAATGAGGAGGTCTGAAAAAAATACTCAGAGAAGGCCAGGAAGAGCATGGAGTCTCTTTGGTCTGTGATAGTGAAGGGAGCTACCACGTAGGGAGAGCCAGTATAGTTTCCAGCTGGGAAGACTGTGCCCTGAAAGTTATTGTCAGAGATAAAAAAAAGGAGACAAAATATAACTTTAATATGACTGCAGACAATGAATGCTACTTTCCTGTACTTTGCCCAGGCTGTTCATTTGGTGTATAAATGAGTGCACAGGCTTTGTAGTACACCCTGAAGGCTTGGTGCTTTCAAGCAGGTGGTGAAGGCAAGTTCCAGCATTGGGACACCTTCATAGATGACACCTGAGATCTCTTTTGAGATACTGATCACCTCCTGAAGAAAACCTCCCACCTCAGAACAAAACCCCTCTAAATTAAGGGTCCATATATTGCATGAAGAGCATGACTAGCAGTCCTCATTTTTGAGAAGCCTTACTTTCTCCTTTCCCCCCATCTACAGGAATTTGAATCTGAGAACTGCTGCTTAGAGCTATCCAATGGTCTCAATTACAAAATGGATTTCTAAAACCAGAGGTCTTTCTTGGTCAAAATCAGCACCATACTCTACCCAGAAGCAAGTTGGTAACTTGTGCAGACAAAAGAAGACTTGAGAGAAAGGAAAGTTATGTCAGACAAAACTAAAATGCCTATGTCGTCTTCTGTATTACCAGTGATACTAGCCAAGACTTGCAGATCTAATGCTTCCAAATGCACACAGATTAAACAAAAAGGTAAAAACCGATTTGAAGTGATGAAGGCACTTAGAGGTTAAAGTTTTTTTTATCCCTTTTATTAGTTCCCTGTCTCTGTTTCATCTCAAATATATTCTGTATGTCTTTACTTTCTCATTCAGCTCTAAATTTCCAGTTGCCTTTTAAGGACTATCAAAATGCTTATGAAATGCTGAATCACAGCAAATGACCTCCCCATTCAATTCTCACTTGCTGGATTTACCAGTCACTTGCTTCATGTATTTCCCGCATGTAACTTTTGTGGGAGAGTAGCTCTTGTAAACAGCCATGACATTTACATCTTTAGTCTGCTCAAGTTCCTGCTTAAAATCTAGTTGCTGCATTACTTGGAAGAATTTGACAGCAGCTGCAGAGCTCGTGTGCCAACACCAGTGTCCACCATACAGATACTAACTTTTTGTTCCTTTGTGTTTCCACCTCTCTTATTTACCTGCTGACTTTTTTTAATACTTAATTTATAAGATCCTTGTAACGAGACTGTTTTTTCATTCTCCCTTTGTAGAGCACCTAGTGCAAGGCAGCTTAAACTAATTAAGGATCTTAGATACAGTGATGATGATGACTACCCTCAATCAATTCACCTTACATAGAATGACAATGAAGTAATTTTAAAATTAGGAACTAGTCAGATTTTAGTTTCAGTGCATAAGAAGACTTTTTCCTTAATTTGAAAGAAACTTCCAGGCCTTCAGACTTAGCAGCACTCCTTGGGCTCCCATGTTTTTTCAAGGGTCTTCAATCTTCCCATTCGGGAAGCCAGAGGCTGAATTCTTGGTCCTATAGTCTTTTCTTGGTCCTATAGTCTTGCTTTTTCTTTTCCTCTCTCATCTGACAGCAGACACATCTAGTTAGTGCAATGTGTAGAAATATTCCCCTGACTGACTGAACAAAGAAGTCCCAGACATTAATTAACAGCAAGAGAAAGATGATGTTGAATGTTTTTTTGTTTCCTTTCCTTTTCTCTTTACTTCTAACTTACTTAGTCAACTTTTACTGCTCTCTATTTTCTATGACTAACTCAACAGCAATTAAAAAAAGGATGTGGCTTTTAAATAATTCATTTTACAACAAGATTGTTACAAATTATTATAATGACAAATGCAATAATGCTTTGAAATGTCTGTCTTAGATACTGAGCCTCTGTGTTCAGAATAGCAATCATGGTTAGCTTAGAAAGTGGATCATACAGCAATCTTGGCAAACAGCATTACAGGCAATTACTTACCTTTAAGTCCAGGTCAATGAATGGTTGGAATACTGCTGGCAAGCTACTTAAGGAGTAGTCTATTTCAGCCAAATCATCAACTGGCATTACAACTGTAAGGGTGGTAGATAAGGCAAGATACAGAATATTACAAAAAACACAGAAAGAGTTTTATGTATACTTAAAACTAAGTCAGTTTCTGAAGGAGAATGACACCCCATTGCTCCAGAGAGTAGGGAAAAACACAACCAGGGACTTCCTAACATGCATGGTGAACTAAGGCTTGATGTTTCTACTGGAACCTTCTGTAAAGCACTAGCTTTAGTTTGTCTATTGTTTTCTTACTATGGAAAAATTTAGTCTAACAAAAAAGAGGAAATGGCCATCAGTGTTTAAGGGCATGAGGAGGCGTTGGGATTTCTTGTCAAGCAGTTCTAAGAGCATCCAGAGTGTCTCCAACTTGCAAATACTTTCCCAGAAAGCAGGGTGCCTGATCTGCTGGGATTTCTTGTCAAGCAGTTCTAAGAGCATCCAGAGTGTCTCCAACTTGCAAATACTTTCCCAGAAAGCAGGGTGCCTGATCTGCTTAGGTACTTGTGTTTTGCACATGGCATCTGATCAACACTTCCGGTGTTTTAAAGGCCTGCAAATCTAATCCAGAATAGTTCAGGTGAGAAGCTTTTTTGCCAAGGAGAATTTCCTTTTGCCTTTGGCAAGTCTGATATATAGGGAAGTGAAACTTAAATTTTCAGGCAGGCTAGGAGAGCAGGCTTCAGCTTTTAAATTCCTGTGTGTGCAGGAGGACTTGGAGCATGGGAGGGAAGGGAAAATTGCTGTAGTGTCAGTACACTGTGGCCTCTAAGTTGCATTTCTAACAACAGAAGTGCACACTGCTGCATTTGCAAGTCGAGAATCGCTACCAAGTCCTTGGCTCTTACAAATATACATTTCTTGCCCAAGTAGCCCTGCTTACTGTTTCTGTAAGCAAGGGAGCAGACAGAGCAGAGGGTCTGATATCACTTCTGGACGCATTGCTGACCAGTGGCTGTTAAGGAAGCTGCCGAATTTCACTGATCAGCAGAGAAGAAGCAGAAGGAAAAGGTATGACTACTGACTCACCATTCAGCGATCGGAGGTCTTCATCTATCAAATGGATCCCAGCTCTGATATTGGGACATGACTGTAATAGAAGCACACTCAAGTTATGGCCTGATTAGCATGGACATGTAAGCACCTCTTACCTGTGTGCTACTAGATCTTTCTGCTACATGACACACATTGCAGCATTTGTTTATCCAAACACCTAATCTGGCTTTTCTTCAGCTAACTGGATCCCCAAGGTTTCTGCTTGGTGCAATGTAAGCATATCCTATGTCAGAGCTGCAAAGAAGAGGGAAGTTGCCAGAAGCAGCCTGGTGGGGGTGACAAAACTACAGCCTTTAATAGGCCAAGGAGACAGATCTCACATTGGTCTCACAGGAGACATCTCAGAATCATGGACTCACTTAGGTTGGAAAAGACCCTTAATATCATCGAGTCCAACCATAAATCTCTGTCCTGGGACAGAATCACAGCCATCTCAAGCTCTGTCTCCTCTCAGTGGCCCTAGTCAGGTTCTCATCAGGACTGCTCACTTCTTTAATACAATGAAGTTTAAATATGTCATACTATCAGTTGATGTACTATAATTTCTCTATGCATAACCCAGTATGTGTTTTGTCTGCCAAGTACAAAAATTCCATGATGCCTGTAGGTACACAGGCAGAGACTTATTCTGCATTGGAATGGGAAAATAACTACATTTTCTGGCCCTACTGCTGCCCTGGTTGAACTAGCTGTGGACTAGTCAGTATCTTGGCCATGAACTTTATCTGGAAGCATTTCCAGCTGGCAAAATGTTGCCTGTGCTGATCAGACCTGAATAGGTCTATTACAGGATTATTTTTCTAGCTCCGCTTTACCAAGTTCACTCGTGAATGTCACACTCCTTACACCCCTCCCCTACACAATGTGAAAGGCTTACATTAGTGACCAAGCTCCTGTGAATAGGTTTCTTCAGATACTTGATAAAGAAGTTATGCAGGAAGCTAGAGGGAAGGAAGAAAGCAATTCATGTGTCAAGTACCATGGTCATTAACAGGAGATCAGCTATCTCTGTAGAACACTAATTTAATGTCCTCTGAGTATGATATTCCAGTAGACAAGAGAGCTTTCTGAAATGTAAAAACTATCAGAGAGCCACTATTTAAAAGGAGATAACTTCAGCATCTCAGGAATTAGCCAGGGTTAATTAATGTATATGAAAAAGCAATTCTTCATAGTACCACCATCATATATGTACAAACACAGAACAAATAAGTAGTGTCTGCACTAGGAACTGATACAATTAAAAACAAACAAAACAAACGCAGGTGACAAAAGTGGTATTCAGACAGTGAGAGAAGTACAAGGAAACAATGAAATATTGTTGCATGTATCCAGAGGCTTAACAGACAGCAGTCTGGTTCTGTTCAATTTTGATAGCACTGTGACTAGGGGAGTGAAACACAGTACAAGCATGTAACTTCTACTTAAAGCTGAAGATTAGAGCAGAAGTTTGAAAGAAGTGGGTGCTGAAGAAGCACAAGGGATTGTTTGATTCTGTCTTTATCTTCTATCGTGCGCAAATACAAGGATAAATATCAATGTTGGCCATTTTAACACTGTATTAGGTCCCCAGTTCTCACCTGTGGTGTCTATAGATACCTAAAAGCAATTCTGGGTGCCCTGTTTCATGAAGTTGTCTCTATGCTATTCCTTGACACTTATTTTCTCCCAGAGTTTATACAGATCTCTTCCACTTACCCGCTTTTTCCATTCAGCTTGATATCTATGTCCCCAGAAGTTGTCCGGCAGCTGGTAAGGGATATTGACGTAGGACTTGTATTATCCCGAGGAGTTGAAAAGATTGCAGTGACAAACACCTTTGAAATGTGCACTGTGCTTCTTCCACTATCTTTGCTGCATAAAGTAAAAATAAATAAAATATTGAAAAAAACCCCACCTCTTCATTATGGACTTGCCTGGCAGTCTGGACTGGTGGCTGTTCATGGTCACTGCCATTAACTTGCTCTGCTTTGCCTACCTTGGGCACTTGCCAGTGAGGGCACTGTCCCTCCTACTGTGCCATCACCCTCAGCACCCGGGTCCCCTCCCCTTTAAAGCAGCCAACCCTACTGTCCCTGTGAGCAGAAGTGCATATCAGTTCTGTAATTCACTCAGTTTAGCAATATAGGTAAATGTGAGTTGTGGAGAAGGGAAGAGGGATTTATTTCCTCTGAAACAGCATGGGACTGGGAAGGTGTGGACATGGCTCTAAGGATACTGCCATTTGCTCATCCATTTTCCATCAGCTTTTGAACTATATATCCTGGAGGCATAACAGAAGGTTTCTAACAGTGTAACTGCACAGGGAGGTTTTATTATACTGGACTGTGACCCACCACGCTACAGTTTTTTCTAAATGTGTCATTAGCTGGTAGGCTGGATAATGACAGCGTTCATCCAGAGTAGCAGACCTATATTATTCACAGCAGTGCTTCTCAGCCACAGGCTCTTTATCAGTGCTCGTGTCTGAGGGGGCTGTCTCCCACCAGCAGACCTGTTGAGAAGAATCAGTCTGTGCTTCTGGGTTACTGCTGCCAGCTCATAAAGAGTACCTTTGCCATGAAGAGGTCACAAGAAAAACTAAACTTTGTGTTTTTATCTTTATATGAAGGAAAAATCCCAGGACACATTTAGCTGTACTTACAACATCCAGGTCCTTATGTTCCAGTTCATGTCGATGGTTAGAGAAGCATTTCCTATCACCAGTTTTATCCCAGACCCAGGTAGGAGGGAGATGGAAGCACTGGGTAATTCAACAGCAGTGACATGTATTCTAGAGCGTGAGACAGATAAGGAAGAGATAAGAAAAAGAAAAGTTTTTATTTCATGAGTCAGAATGAACACACAATCAGATTCAAATTTCAGTCAAACATAAATTGCCCCTGGAGAGAATACTTACCCAGAGATGTTGTATTTGACATTACCAAGCCCATATTTCTCATGGCCAGTCAAATCAGGGAAACGCTCCTTTTCCATATTCTGCTTCAGGATTTCCAGCCCAACCTCCTTGGCTACAGGAAAACAACGATCAGTTCAGTTGCCTTTGATACTGCCTGGGAGTTTATAGTCATGTGTTTCTGGCTCAGGAGATGGGATGGGCACAGAGTCAGGAGGAAGAAGATATCTCATGTGAGACCCAGTAGTGTTATTTCTGATCTCACTCCTAGTCATGGCAGGAGCTGAACTGATTCAATATCTGAAGTCAGATGAACCTCAGTATGATGTCCAATGTTGTTAAGCAGCTTACAGACTCCTAAATTTTCCTTTATAGCCTGTGATCAGGGCATTTCCTCCCACTGCCCTCATTGTCCTATGTCTCTCATATCAGGATTCAGTGCAATACCACCAGCAGCTCCTGAAAACATCACACATACCATACTCCAAGCCCTTCTGGGTGATCCTCACTTTGAGTCCAGGGTTGGCATTGAATTGCCCACTGAGCAAACTTAAGAGAAGGAGAGAACAGCAAATCTTCAGCATCTTCCTCATTTTTTACAGGACCTGTTAAGAAATATTTATAATGATAGCAAAGTTCGTGCTATGTCACTTGGTGGTTGTACTCCCTTCCCCTCCACCCTAGACACCAGCTTTCCCTCTAGAGTGAAGAAAGTGGAAAGCTCAGCAACCATGGAAGAGAGGACCCATTCTGCACAGACTGTTACAAAAATACAGTTCATGGGGTAGAGGAGAAAAGTCAGCCTATTCCCTGCCACAGAGACTGGGGAAAGCACTTGGGATACATCCATCCAGACAAACCCTGTCAAAAGCAATGTGACATTGAATTTTTAGGCTGTCATTTCCCCTCCCACCTCTAGCTAGTGAAATAAGTAGCCTATTTTTTCACAAAATATGTAATGCTCTCAGTGCCTCTTGGTGATTCAGCAGACATCACTACATCTTAGCACTTTGGAAAACCTGATCAGCTCACTTAATTACAGGCACAGATACCCCCACTTTTAGAGCTACTTATTAAGATCTTAGTCACAATTTTGAGAAGTGCCTTATGTTCCCTCCTGACAGTCAACAAAAGAAAATGATTTGGTGCCAGCAGACAATGTTTTCATATTCCCTAGACCACATGTTTATTAATAAATACGTTAAGTTTTATCCAGAAACTCTCTGTGCAAACTCTGTGGTCCAACAGATGTTTGGTTTTGCTTATTTGCTGTTTCATTACCAGAAGTAATAATACACCTCAAAACTCTAAAATATTTTCAGTTATGATAACAATTTAAGCAAACTGCAAAATTATAACATTGACTTAAATTTTATAAGAGTTCAAGCAACCCCACAGAACACCTTTGCCTTTTAGTATGATAGTATTTCCTTTTTAATTTTAACTGACTTTTATTGAGAGATGAAAGAAACACACTTCATGTGTGGAATCCAAAGGTGAAAGAAACACAGTCCATGTATAGAACAAAAACAAAGTACTGGAAGGAAATGTGTATTTAACATAGGCATAGTTCTCAAATCATAAAATCTCAACATTTAACCAGATTTAGCTACATCTATCTCTGCCCAACAAAGCCCCTCCTCAACAAAGAGTAATCACAACACATTTATTTTCATACCTCTCCTCTGAAGACTGAAGAGAAGACTCTTACTGTACCAGAACACAGGACTGAGGTCAATGCAAGGAGAATCATCTGCCACCACAACCCCGTCTTTTAAAGGAAAGAGTTGAGAGCTTTAAGACAGCCAATTGCTACCGTCTTCAGCAGTATCACACAGGGAGTGGCCTCTGATAATCACATCCCAAACTATTTTGAGATAGTCCCAGGTTAAATCTATCAAATTTCATTTAGGGATAAGCAGGGGGCAATGTGAACTGTTGGATGGAGGTGCTCAGGCATTGGGGTGCTGAGTTTGGGATGGCATGCTGCCTTTGTGGCAGACTGTTTCAGCACTGGCTTTTCAGGTGGACCTGAGAGGAAACCCCAGTAAGAATTCCACTAATTCCAAAGGACAGGCACTCGAATTCCAGTAATTCCAAAGGACAGACACTCATAGCCAGGTCTGTATTTTGAAAGAAATAAATTAATGTGCAATCATTGTGAAGAACAGATGGAAAACAAGGCCCATCTGTCTGAAATTGCTCAGGATACAGAAAACCACAAACCATATAAGATTTATGTTATAGCATATGTATATACACACAGATACTATAGTGTGTATTTATGGTGCAAATATATAGTATTAAGTCCTTGTAGTTAATATTTTCTATTTCTTGTCCTTACTTATCCAGTTAACTGGTACTTCAGCTAACCAGCACTCCTTGGCTTGTCAAGGAGGTGATTTAATCAATTAGCTTGCATGTACCAAGCAAATTCCCTCTGGCATGGAGCACTTTGCTGGACAATCTGAGTCACTTCATTGTGCAATCCATGAATAGAAAAGGTAGAGGCACTTGTCAGTCAGTCAACAGATACTCACATTTACACAGATTTAACATTCACTGCAGGGAGTCACATGCATAATAATTTCATTATTTATATCTCTGGCAACTGATGATGAATATAATTCACACCATCAGTTACATAAACCTCTATAAGTTCTTTTGGCACAAGTTCTGCAGTTCCTATAAAGCAAGGGAAAGTTCCATCGTTTCTATCCACAGGTCTCTAAGATGTACAAACTGAATTGTCTGAAAACTATGTCAGCTTTTCCTCATCATATTCTTCTAACATGTTATGATTCTTCTAAGAGAGTACCACCCAGTTTAGATAAGACTTTTAGCAAAAGTTAACAAAAACACACTAAGGCTTCCAGAACAGTTCCATCATTTCTTTCTACAAGTATATGAATAAAAGGCAGCTGTCTACTTACAGGCACATTCAGATAGCACATTCAAATACACTATAAATAGCTTCTACATCCAAACTTTTCACCCTTCAAGGTGTTACAAAGAGCCTCTAAGAGGAGTGTTTTATTTCAGCTTTCTCTGAATTTTCTTTGATGTGTATGATAAAGGGGATATAGGTTTCAACCCTTTTTACCCAATACACAAGAAACCAAATGAAGTTATCAGTATGGCAATACTACAAACTTGTTGTATATCTCTGCAGAACACTGGTTTTGCATGCTTCTTGCCCCTGCCTCTGGCTCAGTGCTCCAGTGGTCCCTTTTCCCTGCTCCCCAATTCTCCCTTTTCTCCATGCTCTCTATTCTGCAGCTAATTGATGAACATGAATAATTTCCATGGTTCTATCAATCAGGAGACACCATGAGATCAAAAATGGTATAATGACCTGTAGGTAAGTACAGGATGATTCAGAGGGAACTGTTGGTTTATGTGACATCCTCTTTAGTCCTCAGAGAAATTACTACATCACTTTGTGAACAGCCAGAGGACTAGAGCTTAAGAGACAGTGTTGTGCTAAGCCATGACTCTAGCCTGAAAAGGTCCATTGAGCCATGGTACTTGGTCAGTCCTGAAGCGTGTGTCCCTTTGGAAGAGAAAATAGATAGACACCAGAGCTTCAGTTTTCTTTTTCCCCTGTATCTCATGAATTGTCCTCCAAATAGGCAGAACAAATTTCCTGATATCAGTGAAGGACACCAAACTAATTAAAAATCTTCATTTCTTTTGAGTCTACTACAGAATACAATGAATCAGATGCTGTGATTTACTGCTGTTTGGTTTCAGGATGCTTTTTTATATTAAAAAACTGTATCAGCCAGCTAGATAAATAAACTGATTCAGCTAAAACTATGGAAGCCACATGTCTGTCCCAAGCTGGAACTGAACTTTCTATGGTGAGACATTTGCAGACTAGTTTTTCTTTTCACACACTTAATATCTCCTGGTTGAGTGTCTCTGATGACACTGACATAAGACAAAATAAAGCTACCATCTCCATTTTATAAATATTAGAAGTATGGAATTATTTGGAGATTGATACCCTCAAAGAGGTACAGCGACTCACAAACAAGGAGCAACTGCTGGATGATATAGAAGCCAAGGACAGCCTTGGCTGCAGTGAGCATGAAACTCTGGATTTTCAGATCCTGAGAGAAGCAGCAAGACAAAGAACAGAATTACAACCATAGACTTCAGATGAGAAGATTACAGGGACCTGCTTGGCAAGATCTGTGGGAAATTGCCCTGGAGAGCAGAGGCCCAGAAGAGCTGGCTAATCTTCAAGGGCAGCCGCCTCAGAGCATACGAATAGTCCATTACAACGTTCAGACAGCTGAGCAACTGTGGCAGAAAGCCATGATGGATGAACTTGGAGCTCCTGAGTGAGCTCAAACACAAAAAGGAAGCATACAGAAGATGGAAATCGAGACCAGATACTTGGAAGGAACACAAAGATCTTGTTTGCACATATAGGAATAAAGTCAGGAAAGCCAAAGTGCAACAGGAAAGGTTTCCCTAAGTACATTTATAGCAGAAGAAGATGGGCTTATTGCTCAGTAAGATGGGAGACTAGTGACAAAAGAAAAGGCTGCTTTTACTAGCAAGGCTTGGCCTCTGGACTGCACCAGCAGGTGCAGGTTCTCAAGGAGGCTTGAGAACATGAACTACAAGGAGAGTCTGAGAGATTAGGCCTGTTCAGCTTGGAGAAGAGAGGGCCTGAAAGGCCATTTTGTTGCCTGCAATGTTTTGATCAGAGACTACACAGAAAATGGAATCAGTCTCATCTTGGAAGTGTATGGTGAAAGTACAAAAGGCCACAGAACAAGCTGGAACATGAGAAATGCTGATTTGATATTAGGAAAAAGATTATTCTGAAGGGAGTTAAACAGTGGAACAGATTGCCTGGAGAGACTGTGGAATCTCCATCCTTGAAGGCATTCAAGAGTTGACTGGACATAGTGCTCAATAACCTCATATAATTAGTCCTGTTTTGAGCCAGTGTCTGGACTAGATTATATGATTCTGTAACTATATGGCAATTAACTGGATTTTATAAATTTCTTCCCACTCTTGGTATCCAGTTACAAAGGGACAAATTGTGAAACGCTTACAAAGAATAAGATCTCACTCCATACACAAAATGTTGCTAATGCTAATGGAGATAAACTGAATAATGCAAGAACTTGTTCCTAAAATTAACAAAATGTGGTTTCTATAACTCTACAGAAAAGAACCAGTTGCTGCTTCAGATCAGGCTGCAACAAGTTTTCCAAAGCATCGATAACAGTTAGCTACACTCACTGTACTAAAAACCGACACATTCACTTTGTGAAAAGTGCTTAAAAAGTTTTACTAAAACACTAAAAATAGTGATGAAAAGCCATGCTTCTAATGTTATAGCATCTACTCCCTACAAGCCAACAGAAGGAAAACTACATTTTTCTCTTATTATTCTTTAGAAGTAAAAAGACATCAGGAGTGGCTGTGGAGGTCCTCATCTTCCCTGTCCTCTGGCTGGTAGTGAACATCAGTGGAAATAACCAGATGACCCTGAAGAAAGAAAAATATGTAAAATTACTTTAAATTTCAGACATATATTCAGGGACACTACTCTGGGATTAGATCCCAGGGCAGGAGACAAGAGTGGCTTTGTGCCTCCCGAACTTTAGTTAACTTTAGAGTAGGAATGGGCTTTGATGTAGGTTAACACTCCAGAAGGCTGAGTAACACTTACCAGAGACACTCAGGTTGCCTATGAGCCTTCCTGGAGAAAGGTCAGAGGAGCAAGGACTCACACACTCAATGCTTCTAAGGGGATAGCAGCACTGTCCTTGTCATGTCCCCATGCTGGCACACCCCAAAGGGCTAGTGGACCCTTTGCAATCTAAAACTGCTGGGGTGGGGGCTCATTTTGGATCCAGAGTTTGTGTGTTATATCTAACACATAGTGAAAGCTTTACTAATAACAACATTTAGATTTAACAAACACAGGAAAACACACAAATATGCAGGCCTGAAATTTGGCTTCTCACCTGATTCATTTTTATTGCAGGTCCAGTCAGGCTAGTGTGGGCCAAGTTAAGAAGAGGAAATCCTTTTCCTAGTTTATCTTTGGAAAGGACAAATATAAATACATTTGAATGTAATAATAAAATGCACTTCAGAAGCATCTTTCTCAAGGAACTCGATGTGTTTGCAATTTCCCTTCAATTAGCCATCCTTGAGCCTCTCAAGGGAGCAAAAAACCCTGTGAAAAAGTTGCATCTAAACCTCTTACAATCTCTTATCTCTCTGACACTGCCTTTGTTCTCCAGTTATCTGCCCCTCAAGATCTGGTTTCTGCTGTTTCCCACTCTGCATTACTCTCCATCTTCCTTTCAATTTCTTCTCTACTCGATCCTCTCATCCTCTCATCCTTTTGGCTCCTCTTATTCTCATCTATCCCTACTTTCCTGGGTCAAGCCTCAGGTCTATTCCTATTTGCTTTTCCAAACATCTAACATGCATCCTGCCCTTTCATTCTCTTTTCTTTCTCCTCATTGGTAGCTCACTTTTTTTGACAGCAGTCTCCTCACCTCTGTTCATGTGAGAGGCACCTTCTGTACTCTTCCACCTGCTTCCTTCCACCATCATCCCTTTCTTCATCATTCCTCATTACCTGTATCCTACTGAGCTGATTTCTATTCTGTCTGGCCTGTGGCAGCAGGTGAAGCACAAAGGCAGAGAGGTGATAAAGTAAGAGATGTTAACCCAAGGCCCAAAGGTGCATATGTGCTTCTGCACTTCCTCAATTTGGGCCATTCTCTGCTCATAGCTTGACTCTCTGTCAGGATGAGACTCAAACATGTCTTAGCTCTGCTGCCACACTGCATTCAGTGAAAATGAAACCCAAGCCCAGTGTTTGAAAGGGAGCCGAGACTTGCTCTGTCCCAGCCCCTGATCTACATAGCTGAATGACCAGGATCAAAGTCCAGCACAGAGTAAACCTGTCCTGGTGTCACTAAATGAACAGAAAACCTCACACAACAAAGTCTTTAAGGCTGGGCACTCCCTTTTATGGTTTCAGTCTTTCTTTCCCCCCAGCTGTGCTCAGAACTGGCCACAATCCTTACCATTGATTACTGGGATTACTACTCTCCGTAAAGCATACGACAGAAAATTCTCCACCACTGACTTCTGCTGTATGGGGAAAAGCACATTTGGTGATTATTGCCTGATGCCTATGGGTTTGCAGCTTCACAAGGAAGATGAGTGTTAGAACTGAAGTGACACGCAAAAAGATCAGAACACAGCTTGGCAGAGAAAATCTCAGGCAAAAAAAAGATATATTTTGGTTTAAGTTGCAAAGAGGTGTCCATTTTCTCACAATGAGTTAAATTGAAAGTGGTTTTTTTTTCTGTATGTTAAATACCTGGATTGAACCTTAACTTTAGGAATTAAATATGTTCAACCTCATTTCAACTGGCAGACTCAGTTGTCATGTGTGAACTGTTCTCTGGGTGGCAAGAACTGCCCTGTCCTGAAGCTCTGTCTTACACCACTGTGATTAGTCTCTTCCTCCCTTCACTTAAAGGTATTGGTTGGGCTGAGCTGCTGCAGAGTCTCTCTGATAATTTCTCAGTCTACAGTGAAGGATCCAAGTAGTGGCATCCTGTTTCTTTTATTCCCTTTTTTTTTTAATCCTGTTTTTATGTTATTTGGTTGAAGTAATTTAAGATGATGTACGATATGGAGCTTAAGCCTGACTTTGTATTCACTTCAACTGCTACACATACTCAGTCCAGCTGTGACTTGTGCCTGAACCCAGGCAGACTCCATAACAATTTGAGCCTCTGATGAAAAAAACAAAACAACACAACACTCTAAGAGGTACTTCCTCTTACTAGAAAGAAAAAGAAAAGCATAGCATATACTATTTCAAAGCAGAAAGAGCAGTGGCAGATGATGTCCCCAAGACAGACCAATAATTGTTCAGCAGCAAGTTCAGAACTATTTCTTTTATCTCTGAAGGGGTCAGCTACTTATTCCAGGCACTGAAACCATCAGCTTACCTCAGGGAAGCCAAGACTGGAGTGCAGCAGGGAGAACTGGAACCTGAAGAGAAGTAGTAAAAGAAGAGAATTCACTATAAAAGATGAAGGTACAACTTATGCACACCACTTGAAGATTCATTTGTGGAAATTCATACTGATTTCACACTGATTCACACATTTAACTTTGCCAAAGACTCTTTAATTCCCAACAGCTTTTAACTAAAACTGGCACAACTACAAAGGAGTTATAGAATCACTGGGTTCTTTCTGGTACTAATCTCCTCCTACAGTCATGTGTAGTTCTGGGCTGTAACTGTAAGACTTGGGAAATCAATTTTTCCTGGAATTGCTATTTCTCCAACGGCTGAACTACACATTCCTCAAATATGCATTGTTATTTGAATTAACTCATATCCTTTCCTGACTTTTTCCACTGATGCCTGTAATGCATCCTCAGAACATTGTAAACATAATCCCAGAGAAAAACCAAAATTTTGAAGAACAGAAGAACACATTCTTGCGTCAAAAGCTCTAAGTGAGTGACACCATTACTTCTTAAACTTGCACTGACAGGCTCTGATCATTTTAAATCCTCTTTTCCCATTAAAAAGGTCCAGTGACAAAAACCTAAGAAAAGGCTGCTTATATTTTTCTCTAATAAAATTGTAATAGATTAAAAAATATCATATATTCTGGAATTCTAGCCCAACTTGGAGTACAGAGCTAACAAGAAGAAGCACTGATGTGGGCTACCTGTCTGAAAGTCTGCACTTCTATCCACCTGGTGCATTTATGGAGAAAGGGGCTGTAAACCCAGCCCAGCTCAAAGTGCTAATAAAATTTTTCTAAGACAACTGAGAATAACCATAAAGTAAACACAAAACTAGCAAGATCTAAGAAAAATCTAAAAAGCTTTGAGCTTTGATTCAAACTACAGACACCTTTCCAGTCTCATTTGTTTGATGGTCTGCTGCTGGAGTGTGTGCTGTGCAGTCTCACTTTTTTCTTCCCCTCATGTGAAGGCATACAGAGAGCTAGTGACAGGGGTCCTGTGCAGGGTTTGCAGTCCAGCAGTTCTGTTTATGATGCTCAGACTTGGCATGGCAGCAACATTTAGCGGGTTTTAAATAAGCTACCTCATCAGCGCAGACTGAAACAGATGCCTTTAAGATAACCAATAAATTGAATGTTGCCATCTGGAAAGGTATTTAACCTACAGAAAGGGGAAGTATCACAGGAGACATGGTTGTTCCACAGTATTGTTATATTTCATCTGAAAGATTTAAACTAACCAGTTGAAAGTATCTTAAGAGTTCCTGTGAGAAAGAAGATAACTAATTTTCTTTTTGCCATGGTGAAACAACCACTGTCAGGCTGACACAATAAGTTCTGTTGTGTCCTAATGCTGGGATCATTGATGTTGCTTTCTGAATTTTTCTTGGTTACCTCTTCAGAAGTAATGAGATAATCAACTTCTGTTTGGTTATTGTCAAATTGGCTGTGGTACTGGCTGTCTGCAGGGAAAAAAACAAAACAGTCTTGTGTGACTGTATACACAGATAGATACTGTCTTAGATACAGGCACAAATGTAATTACTTTTTTGATTGGAAACACAATGTCTGAACTTTTTATGTGGTCAATACATATAGATAGTGAAAGCATTTGTGAATTTGCCGATTTCTGCCAGCAACTGAGATTCTGTGAGCAAAATGATAACACTGCTCTGATTGCCTCCTTATCATTAGGATCATTTAAGTCCTTGCATGGCTGACCTAGTTGGTTCACTTGCAACCTCATGAAAAGATGTCTGAAATGACTTTATAACAAAGATGTTAGGAAGACTGGGCATCAGACAATAACATTTTTATATATTACAATTTATTCTTGAATAATCACTCAACCTCCCATATGGAAAAAAGGGCTTTCCTAAGTAGCTCTCTGCACCTGCCTATTAAATCCATTAAATTCTACAGTATGTGGTGCATGTTTGCTCCCTCTGAAATGCAACAGAACAGTATGCATATTTGTGGCAGACCAGTATATGCTATTTTATGCTGATCTCTATGATTTTAAAAGGACCTTGAAGATTACTATGTGATTTGTTCAGCCCCAGCACCGAATATTATCTTCTAGCTCATTTTACTTACCAGATTCCCTGTAAAGATGTACTGGGTGGTTGAATTTGGCAGAGCAGCAAACACTTCTACAGAACCAGTGATCTGTAGGACACATCTGTCTGCATTTAAACTGACTGCAGGAGGTAAAGTGGCCATCAGATTCAGCAGCACTGGGCACGCTGCTGCCTGACTCAGAGACGTCTGTGCAGGTTCAAGGAGGAAAAAAACTTAAGAGTGCAGAGTTAAGCTTTTCTTAAGCTACAGTTTCTGTAGCTGCATCATAATCAGGTGTTGTATACCAATTCTCTTGAAATTAATCAATATTAAATATACTTCATTTTAATTACACCAACTGAAATGATAAATTTTGCATTTGAGTTTCAGAAATGATAAAACGAATGGTGAAGTTTTAAACCCACTGATATTAAACATCTATAATGAAGCAATTTAGAGGTTGTTCCTGAAAAATGTATTTCAAGAGGAGGAGATTAGCATGTTAAAAAATGAGGGAAATGAGTGATCCCAGGAAAAAAAAAATCACTTTATAAAGTATTTGGAAAAGTGACAGCCTGCAAAGGAGCCAATCTTTTGAAAAGTAGAGAAACTCCTAAAGGACAAAACTTCAGTTTGCAATTCCACAGATTCTGAATTTCATCATCTTATAGTAAGTGTTGCCATATTTTTACAGCAACTCATAGTATCTTAATTTCTTGCATCACATGTATAGACTCATGACTATTATTTCCCACTGTATATAAACTCCAGTAGTCAAAAATCAGGAATCTTTGCAAAGAGAAGTCAGGCTACCAATAGCAGAGATACCATTACCTTGAATAGGAATAAAAGGAGACTGATCTCACAGATGGCTACCACTTATTCTTTATAACTATTTCAAAGACTGAGAGCAAATCCAGAACTTAGAGGGGTAGAGAATAACTGAAGTGTAGTATGATACAGTTAGGAAGAATTATCATGGGGTAGATGTGTATGTTCGAATCTTGCACTAATCATAAACCAGTTTCCTTGTCTCCTCCAAACTTTTTCAAATGAGAACACACAGATAATATCTATAAAGAGCATTAGATACTGATTTTTATTAAAAGATCTGTACAAGTAACAGTACTCACCTCAGAGACAAAATATTTGAGTAGGGAGGTATTTAAGCTAAAAGTAGTAGCAAGCTGTAAACAAATAAAATAAATTAGATCATCATTATACCAGCCTGAAAATTATGTTTTCCTTGGAAAAAAAATCCCCAACAATAGATCCTGTTTTTTTTAGTTTTAGATAATCCGTGTTTTGATTTAGTATTTCCTTGCCCGAGAGTGATTCCTAAGAAACCCTCGGTGCTCTGTGGGACAAAAGAGAGAGAGATTTCTCATGGACTTGATTCAGAAGCATGCACCAGTGAATGAACAAACCAGTGAACAAGCATTATTCTTTGAAAGAACAGACATGACATCCTGCCTTTGAAACTTTCTCAGATGAAATATACTGAGTATGTCAGAGGCAAGGACTCAAAAATCTCATCTGCTCTTTTGCTGCTAGCCACTGTGATGATGTTTGTTAGTGCCATTCATGTCACCAGCATCCATAAAGACCCTCTTAGCACTGTTTCAGTTAGCAAAACTTATTGGAAACTCTGACTACAAATGCCAGTGTGGAAACTAGCATTTCTGAGGGGTCTTGTATGTTCTTCAACCACAACTGAAAGCTTAGTTTCCTTGTACGTTCTTGCCTCATCCTGCTGTTCCATTAAGTCTAAGGATTTATTCTAGCTCTCAACATAGCCAATATATCTGCTGTGGGCCTCTGTGCAGCAGACTGTGGCTTCATACACTTTTTCTTGTCTTGTCCTTTCCTATGTGCAGTCCATGCAGAGAAAAGCTTTTTTTTTGGTTCTTTCTGCCGCTCCTGGCACACCAACTCTGTGACGTTCATATCTGTCATTCCTTGCCTAGAGCTGCCAAGAAGTTCAGACTTAGGTCTGAGGGGGCTTGAACTATTTTAAATTATGACATACAGAATTATTGTCATGAATCATTCCTACAAGTGGTAGAAGTGCGACCTGAATCTGTGTGAAATGGCAAAGATAATGTGTTAGTCTCCTTTGCTGACCTGACTATCCATACTGCTGATATTTGTGATTCCATTACATGCAAATTATACTCACCTCTTCGGAGATGGTGATGTTAAAGGCCCCTGCTCTGTAGTAAGCCAGTGAAGCAGACTTTAGAAAATAATTGGAGACTCCCAGGTATATCATGGAATCACCCTGGTTTGGGAGAGCAAATGGAGCTGGCATAAAGGGAGGGTCTGTGTGATTACCTACTGGATAGACTGTGCCCTGCAAAAAAATAATTATAAAATATTTTTAGTTGAAACATTTGTATCTGTGAGAATGCTTTAGCAGTGGTTGAACAGGAAGAATTCTTCCTAATCTGAAGAAAAGCTGGACATTAAAGAAACCATCAAATAAGCAAATAAGTTTGTGTTATGCCCTGAAAATAAGCAAATTCAGGCTCTTCTAAACAATTACAGGAATCAAAGAAAATCTGGGTGCTGTACTTTCAAAGTTTGAATTTGAGCATTCAAGTGAGCATTCTGAACAGCAGTTACAAGACACACATGCAAAAAATAATTCTCTAGACCACAATTTTCTTTCTCTTGTAGCAAAGACACATTTGTTAATTTAATCTTAAGGATGACATTTCAAGAAAATCTTCAGGCACACCCAAAAAGCACTGGAAGTTGCTTAGGACAGGGACACACAAAGGAGCCTTTTATATCACCTAACTCTTAGTCCTGGCCCAGCTGCTAGTCTTCTAAAACCTAATTTTGGTGCTGCACAGGTAGGGGACCTTGATTCAGGTATGCTAAGAAAATAACTATTAAAATTGAGAGGTAGGTGAGTTCAGGCCATGTAAGGAAAGTAATACAGATAGCAAGTCATGTAATTACTGAAACTGTGAAGGTTAGTAGCTGGAAGATTCAACAGAAAAAACACTGACAAGGGAAGGTATAAAACCCTAAGAAAAAAAGCTGAAAGTTAGAAGACGACAATCAGCCTGTTCCAAGGAGCACCAAGACCAATAACTTGACAAAATGAGTCATCAGGTGTCCCAGTGGGATGTCCACATGTTAAAGCTTAGCCTGTAAATTCTAGATAGCTACAGGAGCTGATAACTAATTGCTTAGTTCTTTTAAGCTATGTATATCCTGTATATCCTGCTTGCAAAGAGTTTTTTTGCGGGTGGTGAAAGCTGCTTGAACAAAATAACCAAGAGGGAGTTTCAACCACAGCTCTGGCAAATCTTTCTTAACTGAAGTCAGTTCTGAGAGTGATTGGGATGCTCTGAATGACAAGGGCTGTTGAAACTTGTGGAAAAGCTGGGTGTTGCTGAGATATCTCTTGCCAACAAAGGTGAAAACCAGATAAGACAGGAACTGCTATGTGCTGCTCAAGGACTGTCTGTGAGGAGTCTTCTTTTTGGGTGTGACCTGTACTTATACAAGATGCTGAGTCATCTCAAAACAAATGCTTTGGACTGCAATCACACTGGTAGCCATCACAGATCATGTATCACTGCTAACAGGCGGAAGACCAAGCAGCAGTGCAAGAGCTGTATATCTAAAGAACACTTTTATGCTGTTTGTAAAGCCCCTCTGAAGGGTTCCAACTCTGAATTAATTTAATTCTAAATAATAGCTTTGGTTAATTACACAAATGAATTTAATTTATTAAATAAACAATTGCATTCGGTTTCCAAAATAACTCTTGACCAAAATTCCCAAATGTCTTATTGCTTTTCTAAGTAAACACTGGAGAGGTTCAGTAAGACTGGAGTGAAATAAAATGAATCAACTCAAAAGAGAATCAGAAAAGTGTTAGAAAGCACACTGATATTAAAGACAAATTACCTTCAAATCCAAGTTAATGTGTGATTTGAAGACTGCTGGAGAACTAAGTAGGGAATAGTCTACTTGTGCAAAGGTGTCAATCTGGCTTAAGACTAGAAGAATGATGGACAAAAGCAAAACAGACATTATTACAAAAACACATCACAAACAGTTTTTGCTTAGTTAAAGACAAAGACATTATAGAAATGATGAATCTGAAGAAGAATAATGGTGGGAGAAGGAAGAAGACAATTAAAAAAGAAATTGTTATTTGGGAATTAGTAAGACTATTCCCTTTGGAAAAGTCACTGATATCTCTTGATTTAGGCCTGTTCCCCTGCTGTTCACAACTGAATACACTTTGCAGAAGTCTCTCCTATGCAGTGAGAAATCTAGGGCAGAGTCTCCTTTTTTGTTACATATTTGCACAAGAAAACTAAACTCTCCTTTATGATAAGTAAATACTACTAAATATTTTGGAAGATAACATTAGCACATTTTTCTGCCAATCAGAGTTGAAGAAACTGGATGTTTTTTCACAGCAAGAGGGCACTTTATTGTCAATATGATTGAAGAATTTTTCTGAAAGGCGCTCAGATGCAGCTTCAGTCTGATTGTTATTTTTGATCGGACTGTAAAGTCTGTTCTTACTGCATAAAAATGAGATGGGTTTAAAAAATGGTGAATTCACACTGAGATTATGAACTCCTCAATATGACAGCACAGCTTGGAGTGCCCTTGAACCTGAAGTATTTAATTATGTGCTGCATAAGAAAATGTTCTTGATGACTATGATTTTCAGTAATACTTGGCACTGCTTGGCACATGGCAGTTATAGGTCATTTTAGGAAAAATAAATGTCTACTTACTCTGCTTCTGAATAGCAGAGCAGATAATAGAAATATCCACAATGAAAAGTAAAGAGTGTTTGTTTGGGAACAAACTCTATGACCTGAATTATATTAGTTACAGGAATCAAATTAATTTGAATTGAGAAAAACAACAAATAATCTTAGGGTAAAAAAACTAACAGCAACAACAAAAGAAAACCTGTGGCATTGATTATAGTAGTGAAAATCTTATATTTATATGCTTTTTGAACACAGATTGTATTCATGTCTCTGCAAGAGTGACACAGGAATTGTTACTGATGGGAAAAGAAACATGCTCAGTGTGACAGTGTCTTCCTACAGCATCTTGTTACCTCACTGAATATGAGTCTTATGTTCACAGTACCAAGAGCACAAAGGATCAACATGAAAATGCTCATCTTGGAAATCTAAGGAAATAACACAGGTCAGCTACAACAGATTGAAAGATTACAGGTGACTTGCTATGGGCACAGAAGAAATCTGAATATTTTATATAAAGTGCATGCAAGAGATTTCTAGGGTGGAACATGGAATAGGTTAAGGTACAGAAAAATGGCTGTATTTTTCTTCCTTCACTTTTTTGGTACCACGAACACAGAAATAGTTTGGATTCTAATAAAAAAGGATACAATTTGAGCACTATGAAAATTACTTAACAAAAAGCTGTTATCAGCAACTCACCCTTATGCTTTCTAAGCTGTGCATCCATCATTTGGATTTTGTATTTGATATTTAGGCATAGCTATATGAAGAGAGAGACAAGTCAGTAATGTTAGGTGTGTGTTTTAACTCCTCCCTTCACTATCTGAAGCCATCTTTGCAAACTTACATTTTTATCCAATTTGGTGTAAATGGGCTTCTCAAGATAACCAGATAGAAAGCTGTAGATCCAGCTGGAGGAAAGGAAATGAACATAGTGGTTTTTTTACCATGGGTTGAAAACTTTCAAAAAATAAAATCTGGCAGATGGGGACATCAATGTCATTTATATTAACAAGAAGCAATTACAGCAATATGGCAGACTGAAAAGTTGACTCTGTTTACTAATTTGAGTCTCAGACAAATGTTAGGTGGTCTCAGTCTCAGAAGAGCTATATAGAAGGCAATCTGCATAGCTGTGGATGTTCATGTTAACGTGTTGATAAATGATGCTCAATTAGCCACATTTTGTTTATGAGTAAGAAAAAAAATTCTAGAAAATCAAAATAAGAACTATAAGCATTGTTTCATAGTCTCTTTTGAAAGCTTTATTCTCAAATTGTAGGTCAGCTTGTCAAAAGGCTTAATTGGTCTACATCACTTTTACATCTACGAACCACCATTTGCAATCTTGCACTCTTTAATATGGTCAAATGTCAATGCTTTCATATGCAGGATGTCCAGTTGGCTCAATTGCTGGCACATGCAGAAAGAAATGTAGATTAACCACACTTCACACACTCAGCAAAAGAGTCTGTTTTGGAAAACAGAACATTAAAAATCCACTTTCAGAGCCTTCAGTAGTTAATCACATTTTGTAACTGGATCCCTAGAAATCAAAATTTGAAAAGTGTCCCTTATGCTGCAAACCCTGCCACTTCCCAGAGGGTAATTAGAAAAATTGCTGTACATACCTAGATCTTCCACTTAACTTGACTTTTACACTGCCAATGCTCAGCTGGCAATTGTGTAGCAACGTGGACAAGTGGCCTGTGCTATCCCGTGACACATTGAAGATAATGGAAATAAACAGTCCTGAGATGGACACAGTAATTTCTCCTTTGCCTTTGCTGCTTGGACAAAAAAAGTCAAACTCAGTCAATAAAACATCTGCTGTAAGGAAACAATTTAAGAAACTGCCTGTAAATCAAGTTTGAAAGGACTTCTTGCTTCTATTATCTAGAATGAAGAATGAGCTTTCTAGGGATTAAAGTAGATTAGGGACATGCCTGGTATTCAAAACCAGATTATATGCATGTGTTTCCAGGACATGAATTTTCCAGTGTTGCTCAGGATTTGACAAGTTTACAAAAATGTCACAATTTCACAGCAGCACAAGACATTCCAGTCCTTCGTGATAGATTACCCTAAAGGTCTCTGGGACTGCAACAGCAGAAGCCAGTTAGCTAATAAATATATAACCCAAGTGTTATCAACTTTGTAATTGTTCCACTTTCCTCTTTCCTGTTTCAGTAACTCTTTTAAATGTATACATTTTTTTTGTTCTGCCCCAAACCCATTCATTCTCCTTTCTGTAAAAATCCCTACTAAGACCCCCAACAAAAATATCTTTATCCCTAAATGCAAAAAAATTTAGGTATTAGGCTTCCGGTTAGGAGTTGTAGAAGCTGAAGACCAGCCAAGCAGGATTAAAAGTTGAATGAATGTTAGAACAGCCTTATAAAAACCTCATTTACTGTAACAGAACTGACACTAAACACATCACTTTTAACTCTTTCATCTTGATTACTTGAGTTTTCTTTTCCCAGGCATTAATTTCTACAGTGATGGCACCATACTACAGAGAAAGAGCTGTGTCCAATATGAAGCTCGAACCATGAATCTCTCCTCCTTCCTCTTAATTTTTTTAGTCAAAGCAAAATATCTCTGGAAAAAGCTGTAATCCCAAAAGATAAATTTTTACCCTAACCATAGACTGCCCCGGCCCAAACTAATGTCTAGTATTGCCAGTCACAAAGTTCATCCTACCACCATTACCATTTTAAACCTCCTGTTTCAGTTCATATATGTTCATTAAGTGGCTATGTAGAGGAAGCACCACTCTTCAGATCCTCATTTTCCAGTCCCTAACCAAGCTACCATCCCAGAAGCCATTAGGAAAAACATTTTCCCCAGGAGAGTTGTGAGTACTGGGACAAGTTACTTGGAAAGATTGTTGCATCATCATCCTTGGCTAAAAAACATCACTAGTGAGCTGAGCTGATCTAGTCTGGTGACTGAGCAGGAGGCTGGGCAAAACTACTTCCAGAGATCCTTCCAACCTAGATTTACTCATCCTTCAGTGACAGGGACCATTGGAAAAGGATCTCAGCCATCCTCCCCTTTTGGGCTACATGGGAGGTAGGGAGCAACCCAGCTACTTAGGTCTTTTGTTCCTGCATCCTTATATGTACTCTTCTTCAGAAGGAATCCTGATTTCCTGAGGCAGGGTCACAGCTCTAGGCCTTCAGGAGCAATGGGCCTGCCAGGAGGTTTTATGACTGGCAGATTGCTCTGGGACGTAGTGGAGAGAAGGACTACAGTGAGAGCTGGAAATGCACCAGAGCTGAAATGAATAACACTATTGCAATTAAAAAGCTGTGATAAGACCCATCTTCCTGATCCTGGAAGCAGCCCAGGAATGGTGGTTTGTCAGTGGTCTCACTTGGAAAGCTCATTTTCAGCTGGCCCCTCTTAATCTGCTATTCTGAAAGCAACATGTAGGACTAGAAGATAGAGGAGATGAAGAGTAGGGCATATTCTAGATCTGTCTAAACTCACAGTCATTCACAAAACATCACATAGGACAAAGCAGCACAGATTAGTCCTTCAAAAAGGCAGGAAAACCCCTTCGCCCCCTAAATTCCACCAAAGCCAGCTTTGACCACCTCTACCACAATCTGCTCTGCCAAAATCACGCATGACAGTTCCCTGACTCCCTTGCTGTCTGTGAAGTCTTTGGTGTTTTATATGCCTGGAGTCTCTCCAGATTATGCCCAGGTCCTTATCCTTCAGCAAGAGCGAGAGGTGACTTCAGTGTTTAGGAACAGCTGATCTGCCCTGCTGAACACAGTCTCCTTTTCCTCATAATACTCGTATGACAGAAGAAAGAACAGAGAGGTTGGGGGCACAGTGACAGCAGTTTACAGCCACCAGCCTCACTGAGACTGAATGCAGAAGTGCATGTCCACGCTCCTCTGAAATCAGGACATGCTGTGAAACTTGGCAGCCTGGTGATCCATCTTGCTGTGCTATCTGGCTCACAATAGAGCAGCTCCTACTGCTGTTACCAGTTGCTCTATTAACCCAAATTGTAGAGATTAGCACCTCGCAAACTTTCTGATATCCCAGAAGTTTTAGCCCTCCCACACTCCCAAGAAAAGCTAGACTATTGTATTAAAATTCCATGGCAAAAATGCTGAGATAGGAAAAAGGTGGAAAAAACAGTATGCAATCATGTCATTAAAAACAATCTCATACTACACAGGCTTATGAAGATGTCAGTTTTCCATAGCGACCTAAATTTTGGACTTTATGAAATTCTGAATGCTTGGCATTGTGACAGTCCTCTTCCTTTAATAGGGGCTCTTTGGAAGGCAATATACACTGTACCAGCACATGGATAATTAGCTACAGAGTCAACCTTCCAGCTATACTGTACAAAGAAAGTAACAAATGTTGGCTATTACAAACTCTGTGGTCCTGAGTATTTATGTAATATCATGTCTGGACAAACTGAGCATGCTAACAGATGTCTGACCTGACACTTTCCACAGAGACAACCTGTGGGGTTGAATAATTTAAAAAAAGAAAAAGCATTAGTTGTCAGGGGATGTTTCCTTCTTAATAAGTTTATTCAAATAGATTGTTCTTAGACTGCTGTTAAGTGATACAGCATATATGACCTGAAAAATAATACCCAGTATATGTCCCAGAACCACCCCCTCCCACGTGCATCTCTCTGTCCAATACTTACAGCAGCCAAGCGTTCATTCTCCAGTCTGCACTGATTGTAGCAGAAGCCCGTGCCACTGACAGACAAATGCCAGTGCCAGGAATAAAAGAAGCAGAAGTTTCTGGGAAATCTACAGCATTAATTCTAAGCCTACAGAATACAGAAAGGGGGATTATTAGAGTGCATGCCAAAAGTGTAGGAAGGACTCCTGATCACTGAAAACCCTTCTGCTATAAAAGGCAAAGTCTATGCTTCAGTAAAAGAACTTCTCAGAAATGACTGACCCTTGTATATTTTAGGAAAGAAAGACATTACACCTCACCTCACAGCATCCTTGGAAAAAGAATCCTTGATATCAGGCATGCTGTTGTGTTTTTTGTGGTTTGTTTTTTTTTTTTCCCCCAAAAAACCTCCCCTTGGGAAAAAAAAAACCTCCTTAAAGTAAAATCTCCTTGATGGGGAAAAAATAAATCTATGTTTAATGCCAGATGCCACATCTATAAATAAATCCAGGTTGTCTGAATGCTGCATTTGCTGAAGAGTATCAAAGTTTTTGTTTTCACATTCTGCTTCCTTGCCTAAGCAAAGGGCTCTGGAGAGCATTCATTTTTCTAAACAAAATCTTACTTGAATATTTCCCTTCCAAAACAAATGTTTCTGATAATCAAGGATATTGTCTTTCAAATGGGTGTGTTGAATTGAGTTGAACATTGTAAAGATATCAGCTGCAATCTTATCATGTAGTATACATTCCTCATTGTTTCTTGATATCTGGCAGAGATCTCTGAAACAATTGTCTTTAATCTGCTTTCCCTGGGGCAGCAGGCACCAACTACCCTTAATTAAAATGACCATAGTTTTCCAATAACATCTTGAGCAATAACTCTGCCTTTAGTTGTCTTGTTTGCAGTGAGCTAAAATCAGATTATCCACTGGGATGGTGGCCAATTTCAAGAACTATGGTTGAGGGAATGAACTGAGGTTTTGAAGATCATACAATAATTTAGGTTGGAATGGGACCTCAGGAGATTTTTCTGGTTCAACCTCATACTCAAAGCTGGGAGAACTCAGGGCTCTGGCCCACCTGAGTCTTGAACAAGTCCAAGGATCCAGATTCCCCAGCCTTTTCAGCCCTTGTTCTGGTGCTCTAGCAATTTTCCTAGCTTCTCTATTTTTCTTGATGTAGCATTTCTTTTTGCCCATCACCTTTTAACTGTGTGCCCCTGGGAGAATCTGGCTCCATATTCTCTATAATAAACACCCAGCAGACAGTGGAAGACATGCAGTAAGACACATGCACCTCCAACCCCACAGTCTCTTCTTCTCCAGCCTTTCTGAACACAACTCTCTCAGCCGTACAGGGATTAAGGCACAAGGACAGCATAGCAAAAATGGTATAACAATTGCCAGAAAGCAGGATGTTAGGAAAGGGATGCAGGCCCTATCCACCAGAAAGTACATGAAGTCTCTCAGAGTGGTATTTCTCCCTCTGGGTAACCTGCAAAGAACTAAAATGCTACTGAGCAGCATATTGGAAGGTGGGATTGAAGACTGTAGAAAAACCTGGTTTCATACTAGTCTCCATATTTGGAGAACTTGTAGGAAACTCTATAAAACTGTGTCTCTACTTGCTGCTCCCGGTACAAAGATTTTCCTTTGCAGTTAGTAGGTGTCGAGCACTATCCAGTCAAAATGGTGATTTACCATTGTAAATTCATCCAAAAAGATTCAGCTGAAGTCATCTTCCTGCCACATCAGCCCACATACACCACCCCCTGCATATATCTTATCCCTTTGCTGGCTTTTTCTCATCAGACACAAACAAATTATTTTCACCGCTACAGGTCCTTTATAATAGCAGAGTGTTAAAAACACCAATTCTGCTCTCCTTCCCACCTATTTCCCCTGCTGTATCACAACCATGCTTACACCTGTCTTGCCCCAAACTCTGATACAAATCAACTGAAAAAAAAACAGCCAAGGCTCTCCTTTGGGAGCTTTATAAAGCTCATCTCTGAGTGTAGTAGAACAAGTACTTTTAAAACAAGTCAGTGTTTGGGCAGTGGAAGCAGAATTAGATAAACCATTAAAATTTTATGCTGAACAAAACAGTGGTTACATAATTATTACTATGTGGTAATAAGCTGCTTCATCCTAAAACTTTGACATTTATTTCCTTTACTTACCTAGAAATTACATAGTTGACCTTAACAACTGACAAACTCTCCTGCCCGCTCCAGCTTGGGAAGGTCTCTTTCAATACTGCTTGCTTCACGAGCTCCATCCCAATCCTCCTGCCTACAAGGGGACATAGGAAAGCACGTGCCTTGCAGATTGGATTCTGGCACCCAAAGGTCCATATATACTGCCAAATAATTTAATCATCACTTTTAACACAGTTCTTGAAACACTTTGATTCCATGATCCTTACCTAGATCTCCTTCCAACTACGTATATACGCATTTATAACTTCTCTTAGCCTCACATACAAACCATTTAACCCAAGATCAAAAATTTCTGTTAGGATCATCTTGTCCCTGAGTTGTATTTCATCTTCTAGAACTCCTGTCAGATTTCTGAAACTGTTATACTTCCTTCACTCACAATGTGGATAGCTTGGAAAATTCTTGGTCATCACCTTTACCTCAGACTGTCTCATACCTGTTGGATGAAAAAGCCAGTTATAAAGTAGAAAGGTGACTTCTATATGTAGTGTTTAGTTATGGAAAAAGTGTGATATATGCATCTGAAGTGCTGGTTTGTCAAATGCAGAACTATCTGGATTGTTGCTTGTGTACAGGAAGTTGTTTGAGGTTGAAAGACAATCCTTTTAAATGTTTTCTTCCCATTTATTTCACAGTATATATATTTTGCCACTGCACCTTAACCATTAAAGCCTGCAACAGATCTCTGACTTATTTTCTTATCTGCTTCCCTTGCTCTAAGGCATCCATACTTTCTTGAATGTTTTGATGCTACTTGTGTAATGATAATACACAAGACCCTATTATGACCAAACAGAGCATCTTTAAATTCCAGATTCCTTGTATCTTCCTTTTTTTCACTTATCTTGAATTAAGACAAAACTGAAATTTTAATACTGAATGATATCCTGCTTTCAGAGGTTTTTACCATGAATTTCTTTAGCTTTTGGCCTCACAATTGCTGACTAGAAAATATCTGGATTTTTTTCTCCACTAGGCTCTATAGTATTAAAAAATCAAGGAACTGAAATTTGTGATAACACTGGAATGTTATGCATTTCATAAAATGCATCTGTTATGAAGGGGAAGTAAGTTATGATTCCCTGGGAATTCCTGTCTCCAAAGCAAATTATGGGTTCTCAGTGAAATAACTTAAAGCTCTCTTACAACTGTCACTGAAGTCAGCCAGTGATCCCAGGTGAAATTCCTCTCAAGGTTCTTGCAGCAGGCAAGAAGCACGCAGGCAGGATCTATTGCCTTAGCCTTCAAATCTCACATGAAGGGAGAGGATGTGTCAGGCACCAAGCTCTTCAAATATGAGAAATACCTTTGGGAGGAGCTCTGCTAATGTCTGTTCTTACTACTAATGCAGGGGTGTGCCAACTTAGTCTGTTCATTCGGTGCTCGGAAGACCATGCTAATCATCACAAAACCTGCTGGGCTCATGCTGAGAAACACCAGGTTGGATTCTCATTTCTAAAGGCATGAGAGATCCCTAGGAAGCAAGGGAGGTCAATATTGGTTTGGGTGACTGATGTTTGCCCTGCACTTTTCAACTCCTCAAAAGCCTTTAAAACAATATTCATACAATAAAATAAGTGGACCTGATCCTCGCTTTCATCTCAAAGACATGAACCCCAAGCTTCTACTTTTCATCTCACAAGTCCATTGTTTACCTGTCAGCATGTTCAGTACATAAATGACGATTAATCCTTAGCATGACCCAGCCTTTGTTGAATTTGTGCCTTGTTAACCTTTATTATTAATATTACTTCTGTAAACAATTGAAATTGTACCACGTGCCCTCCACACCCATGAAGTAAGTCTTAGGTAGGAGACAGTGAAAGTTAGCATGAATAGAAAGAGAAAGGAAAATATATTGTGGAAATTGCCAATATTCTGTTTAAGGGGCAGAATTATGGCAGTCAATAGATTTTTTTTGAAGAATGGCACATGCAGGTGCTATGCCATGTCAAATGGAGGAATGAGAGTAAAGGTGGCTATGTGGCTGTTCCAAGACTGTAAGTTTTTTGTCCCAATTGTGTCTTACTATCTTCAATTAAATATTGCACTTTAAGTCAGGGGTTTGACACTTTTTAAAAAAAGAAGCAATTATATGACTTTCTAATTATGGTTCTTAAAAAGTATATCAATATGAAGGATGTAGTAGAAAGATGGTTGGACTGTAGGAGAATGCAGTCACCAATAAAAGATAAATTCACACTTGGGATACACAAAAACAAAAAGGAAATAAGTGAGAGAAGAGACAAAGGGTATTCCTGGTGTGAGGTGACAAAAGGAATTTACTCTACTTCAATATTTAAGGAGCTTGTTCCTTAAATAAAACTGAACCTTTATTAAGCAACTATATTCTGTACATAGAGTATTTATGATAAATTAACTTCTGGCAGTGTTAGACATACCATAGTCCAGTCCCTTCTGAGTAATCCTCACTTTAAGACCAGGATTAGCTTCAAGCCGCAAGGACAGCCAACAGAGCAGGACAAAATACCATGTCTTTAGCATCTTCTCACCTTTGTCACAGGGATCTGTTAACAACATTTATGATACAAACATTTTCATAAATGATGCTTACCATGAATTGCAAAAAATCTGTATCCATGACTTCCCTCAATGAAACTGGGACAAGGGTGGATAGGCAAGAGAGGTTTAGCCCATGATTTTATTGCATGAAGCAGTCAGTGTAGGAGCAGGCACATATTTCTGAGTCCTTGGATATCACTTGGGCAGGTATTAGCTATTGGCAAGACTGAATAGTTCTGCTCCACTACTCTATCCTTTCCCCACATCCATGTCTTGGCTGTTTAATGTTACCATCTGTCCTTCCTCCTGCAGAATGAACATCACACAGGAGTAGAGAAAGGTGTCCTAGCACGAGCCTGTGGCAGTGCAAAGCAAGACTGTGAGCCACTGCATGGTGAGACATAACCACACAACACAGATTCACAAAAGCTGAGACAAATTGTATCTTTCTGTGACACATTCCAGTACAAAAGTAAGGCTTCTTTGTTCAAAATTCTTGCATTCATCCCAACAGCCACTGCTCAATTTCCTAGAGATAACAATACTGTTTCTCAAGACAGCTTCAAGTCTTCTCAGTGCTGCATTACAAAACTCTTTATTAGGGACCTACAGGAACTCTACTCTGGCCTTACCACGGAGGGGAATGACACATCCTTTTCTGGATGTGCACATCTAATTGGGATCATGGTACCTGCCTATGTACAAAACCATACTAATTCATAAGTAGCAAAAGCTCTTGATAGTTTTCCATAATCTGGCAGAACACATGTAAATGAAATTAAAACAAGAAAAACCCCTCCCCTTCACCAAAAAAACCCCACACCCCACCACCCTTTGGTAGTCTTACCTCTACCTTCTTCTTCTACTTGTATCTTACTTCTTGGTGTTGTAATTAATATTATCAGGTCAGACTCTAAATGGTTGAAAATCTATGTTCTGCTCAGTAACTCATAAAAAACTGCCCTTTGGTGGTTTCTGCACTGTAAGGTTGACAAAATGTATTTTCAATATTGCCCTGATATCGGTTCTCTGAAGAATCCTTACAAAGTTATCCCAAGACACCATGCAAGAAAAAGTGTTTTCAGGAAAACAACATTCTGAATACATAATCCACACTGGGACAAATTTTGAAAATGCCCCCTTTAATTGGTCACTCATCTCTAGTTCTTATACCTTTTTAGTTTTGTCTGTTTTAAGCAACTCAAAATAAATACTTTAAGGTAGCAATGTAATATTATGCACAACAGCCTGCTGAAGTCACAAAACTTAAACTCTTTCCAAAAACTATCCTAGCTTTTCCTGCAAACATGCCACCTTCAATCCTGATTAATAAGGATCAATTAAAAATCAACGTGAAACCAGAAAGACAGATTTTTCTATCATTAAAGTACATAAATATTTCCTAGATATTTATCCAGCAGGATTGCTAGAAGCATTGATGCAGATGAGGTACCTCATTCCCATTGCATTTCATTCACATTGAGGAACAGAAAACAGCAATCTTGGTCACTACTGTGCTTTGCACTTGTACTTTGATATGTTCTTGTTTGGATCTTAAATGGATGTTGAGTGAGAAGCTGAAAGAACAAACAAGGGAACTGCCCTGGGAATAAAAGGCAGTATCATTTCATATCGCTTACTCACACCAACAAGCTTTATTTTTGCACTCCAAGGCTGATATTCTTGGCTTCATCCAAGCCCCGAGCCTCTCTCAGTTGCCAGGATCGATTGTACAAGGTCAGTCAGATGACTGAGGCAGGCAGACCTGAGGAGAAGGAACTTGTCAGCTGCCTGATAGACTAAATGAGAGCTGCCAATTGCATTGCCAAGGACAATAGATGTCAGACAAATTGCCCTGATATTTATCTTCAGTAACTGAGCAGGCACAGACCAATTTCTGTATGTAAATAATTATCTTAATTCTTTTGTCTTCTCAGAGATAGTGTATTCAAGTACTTGAAGTAGAGAAAAAAGATGAAGTTCTTTGTTTCAGACTGTGTACCTGTCTCACCCTAACGAAGTACTCCGCCTACCAGTCTGTAGATACATCTGGTTTCTCCTTTGTGAACAATCTATAAAAATTTTAAATAAGACTTGCAATAAAGATTACAGCTGAAATCCACCTAGGAACTTAAGCAAGCTCCTGAAGTAAAAAAACAAAACGAAACAAAACAGAAAACCAAAACCCACACAAACAAAAAATCCCACTATAGTTGTCTTGTAGAGGTTTAGCACAGCCATAAAAACACACTAGCTTAAACTGACCATCCTCTGAAATACAATAGAGTATATTTAAAAAAGAATTTTGTCCTTATCTTGCCTTGGTCCTGCACAAAACTCTCCAATATGCAGCCCACAGAAGGATTTCTTTCCCTTTGAAAAATTTAGTTACCCCGGTAGTTAACAAACCCAAGACAAACAGTTCTTAAACACAATAGCAAATATAGTGTCTACCCAACCTGAGGTCCAGAAAGAGTACTTTAGTTTCCAAAATATCTCTGCTGTTATCACAGAACTGGGACTGGATTTTTCAGTTTCTCCCTTGCTCCATTGTCTCTAGTTACTCTGCAGCATGTTCAAGAACAGGTAGGGTTTCTGCAGCTCACTTAACAATGTCAAAGCAAAAAAGACTCACTAGCCTCAAGATTTTAACCCTTCCCACACACTGATATTCCATATGGAAAATCACCTCTTGAGGGAAAAGGAATACAAAGTTAATATGGTTGATAGGAGAGACATATTGGAAGGAATGCTTAAAGAAAACAGCAATTGACACAGATAGGAGTTTGCTAAATGGCATAAAAGCAGATGATCTCTCTCCACAACTACTGGAAATGCCCACTGAATGAGAAAAACTCCAGTAAGTTCCTGTTCGTGGTTTCCTCCACGCAGTGTGGAAAGCAATGCTATCCACTTCCCAGCTCATGAGACAGCCCATGGTGTAGCTCAACGAAATCTTCCAACAGAATCCACAGGAGGCAACAGCCACCCCTGCCCCCACAGGTTGTATCTGTGAGTATGTCTGGGGCACCCCCTGATTTTTCAGAGGCTCTGCAAAAGCTTTGTGTTACCACAGCTTTTCCTGAGCGTGGCTTGACTACTGATGCCCTTCATAAAGGCTTTCAAAACCTTGGAGCAGGATTGCCAGAGAACTATTAATCTGTGTCAGGCTGCAAAATAAATAGCATAGCTGCAATGCCTACACAGATTCCATTAACAATGGATAACAATGTTGGGAGGCAGTTGTCTGATGAGCTGATGGAAAAAAACCATCATCGCTGTTTGGATCCATTGAGTTAATTTTGCTGACCTCTGTAACTGCCTTATCCTTGCACTTGAGCCTCCTAGGACCACAAGGTTCATTTTTACCAAAGACCATTTAGTGAAACAAAAGTCAGTGTCCTTGTTCTAGCGCTGCCCTGCACGCTGCCCTCACAGCTAAGAACTGTAAGGGTGCACTTAAGCTGGTTCCCAAGAGACAGTAGAAGAGTAAGATATATTGAGACCCTGAGCAGAAATGCAGCAGGCCTTATTTGTCTGAAATCTGAATTGCCTAGATTCAGACCTGAGTCCATCATTTGCACAGTTCTGTTCTAAGCTTCCTTCTCTCCCAGTTGTTGGCTCACTCTTAGAGTCTTGTCCGACCATTCTGTTACTTTCACGGAGCTGACAGTAGCATGAGGAACTCTCTCACCCTCAGCAGCTACCACCCTGGTTCCACACAAATTGCAGTCCTGTAAGATTCCTAGAAGGTGGATGCAATAACCTCCCTAGGAAAAACCTGAGCCTCTTTTTACTACCCAGAGAAACATGATTTTCATCTGCTAATGCAAAGATATCAAACTCTGATCTCGGAGTGCACACAACTCCCAACAATTTAATACTGTTTAAAAATACATAAATCCAACAAAATGTAGCTGTAGCTCAAAAGGTTTGAAGAAATCTGGCAAACTCCAGAAAACCCACTGAAAGGTCCTTTGCTCCCTGTGATCAAGATTTTAATCAGAAACAGTGCAGTTAAGAGCTACATGAGCAAACTCCAGACACTGCTTAAGAGTCATCTGTATTCAACCAATCTGAGACAGTGTAAAGCAGAGCTCCACTAAATGTATTGGCTACAGAGCAACAGCCCAATGGGCTTTAAAATACCTTTTAGGAGCAAAGTTGACCACTAGCAAACTGTAAGAAGTTAGGAGGTTCTCTCCACTAGCTTTGATTTGAACCTCCTCCTCCACTGGCACACTTAAAATGCCACTTCAGACTTTCACAGATCTCCTGATGATACTCTAGCCTTCATACCCTTCTTCTCATTCCACCCTCTTTCACAGGTTTCAGTGTGACCCTTGTCATTCAAAATGTGTGGATCATAAGGTTTAACATATACACACATACATATTTACTTATATATATTATAAAATACATTCTTTGTAGTGGCAAATACATAAAGAAAAGTAATGGAAAAGGTCCACTGTCTCACAGCTTTATTACTACACTCAACTTTCAGGAAGAAAAAATATTTCCATGAGGTATGTAACTGAACCAAAGAGACCTTTACTCTTTACAGTTCTCCTCTGCCACAGGACTAGGTCAACAGTACTAAAGCTTTAAGTTTCAAGTTTCTCAAGAGAACCCACTAGGACTATCAGTAGGATTTTACTGCTTTGGTGGAACAGGTTCTATTGCTTGTGTTTCACACTGATCATGTGGGGAAGAAAAACCCTCAATAAAATTCTTTGAGTTGAGAAACAATATTATCTTTAACAACCATTCTAAACTACTGACAAGGAGCTTTCTTTTGTCACCATACTGTGTATTATCTTAAGGAATTACTTAAAAATAATTCACAATTTCTGATAAGAGTGAACTATACTGAAAGTCAAAATTCTTCTCTACACAACCATTTTTTCAAGGTTTTAAGCACACAGGTTTCCTGTACTGCTTTGCATGTGCCCTTCCCAGCCTGAGGTCAATGTCATATGTGGCCATTGAAAATCTTTAGTCTGCAGACTGAGACAAAATTCAAATGGTGGAGAAAAACTGTAACTCATAAAATAATAGCCCTTTCTTCTAGGATGATGTGTGAGGGAAAAAAAATAATGGTAGTGTTGAGTCATTTGAAATTTTCCAGACTTGAAAGCTGAGGAAAATGTTTTATAGCCTTTCATCCTAATTGTCTCCTAGGTTTTCCTGTTTAATAGTGCTGTGTGGAAAACGTGTCTAAACCTTACATTATGGCATGACTCATAAAATTCAAAGGAAAAATTCACAGAATGGCAGCAGAAATGCTCACTTGTAACTCATGTAGCTGGTTACCTAACAGTGAGTATAGCCAGCCTCTGAGAAACGAACCATTTTATGCCACACGATCACTTCAGCTTGTGCAAGTTACTGAAATGGTGGTTCTCCTGGCAGCACCACAACTGTAGCCAGGGACATTTCCCAGAGAAGGGAAGCCTCCTCCACCCTTTCAAAAGAGCATAGACTAAAATGCCCTGGAGCCAGTGGGATAATAGCATGTGGTTGGGGCAGGGATAATTCTAAAGAATGAAACATAGCAGGACATTCATGGCCAATGGAAAATGGTTGAAGCAGCAGCATGACTCACTTTGGATTCAACCTTCTTCAGAGAGTGCAAAGCAGAGTTTCTGACAGGCACAGTCCTTTCTACCCTTCTTGCCAATTCCATTCTCATCCCCCTCTGCTCCATCAACCCGCTCTTCTGGATTTAGCCAGGATGTGACTCCATTTGATGACAGCAGCCTAAGCATTCCTCCAAAAAGGGGGGTGGCAAAGGGTGCAGGTTCTCAGGAAATCACTTGTTTTAATGTTTGTCATTGAGGGCCTGATAAGTTACACTGAGCTGATTGTAACGAGCATCAGCTCTTCCATTGCTCAATGAGTGGTGTTCCACCTCAGTAGACTCCTTGCCTTTCCTTTCATCACCTTTCCACTGAGGAATTTATTGACATGTTGAAAAAAGATGATGGTTGCCCTTCAGTTTGAGACGTATCTGATGGTGAACTCTAAAATGAAAATTTAGCAACCACATTTTCCTGGGTTGGATGACCACGTTCAGATGGCATAAAGGAAATTCCACATGTAGCCCAAAAGAGAATTTTTGAAGTTTCAGTGTCCTTTTTCTGACTGGTTCTCTAAGTGCTGAAAGGACACAAGTAGGGTCGTTTCTATAAGGTTAAGCAATGTGAATAAGGCCCTAATAAGCAGTTGTATTTTGTGATAGCTGTGCAAGCTAGGTCTTTGGATTTCTCTTATTATTTAAGTATTATACTTCTAGAAAGTATACCAGTTTTCCTGCACCTCACATTTCTTGTATTATTCTTTGTATGGAGAAATGTAAGTAAATTTTATCATTAGAAAAAACCCCAAGATGATCTGAGAATATGCATTTTTCTAAGTTACCTCTGAATTCACTGCTTTTTGAATTCAGCATAATTCATTAAACAAAGTGAAAACTTAAATAAATTGTGCCTTTTACATTATTCCCCCAATCAACATTATACTTAGTAGTACTAAGTACTAGTACTACTACTCTTAGTAGTAGAGTGTTTATTTCCAGGTAAACCTGAGAGTACTTTTTGTAGAGATCCAAGACGTAGGGAGGGGATTTTCTCCCATGTTTGACAGGTGACCTAGAGCCAGTAAACTTCAGTTCGTACCACTTAATACTTCCGGTGAGGTTATTTGACCACAGGTGTTGTAACACCACTTCTGAGATGACAACTCAGTAGACTGGTCTAGAAAAGTCAGGTTCCTTTATAAAACTAAACAGTCTCAGGGGCAGCATCCTCCTTCAGCCCTTCCCCTTGTGCATTTCCATGAGCCTTGCCAATGGCTTGACATGCAGCCAGCACCAGGCTTTCGCTGGCATTTTTGGCTTCAGAACAATTTAGGAAGGATACTGAGGTGCTGGAGCATGTCCAAAGAAGGGCAACGAGGTTGGTGAAAGGACTGGATGACAAGTCCGATGAGGAGCAGCTGTGGGAGCTGGGGCTGTTTAGCCTGGAGAGGAGGCTCAGGGGACAC